GGCAGCAAGATGAGAAGCAGAAGTGCTTGAGATCTTGAGGATCCTCCTAAAATGCCAGGACTTCATCCAAAACCCCGCCGCGCAGACTTCAGCCCTCGCACACTGTCTCTCAGCCTCTGCCCGGTCCCCCAGCCCGTCGCCCTGCGGCGGATTGGGGCTGGGGTCAGGTATGTGGCCGCTTGCTGATGCCGCGGCTGGTGGCCTGCTTGGTCATGTCCTGGTAGGAAGCTGACTTCAGGAACCGGGGGTAGGAGTCCTTCTCCATCAAGGTACGGGTCTTGGCTTGGGCTTCGTTGAAGCAAGCGGAGGTGGCACCCGAGAGGTTCTTGCGGGTGATCTCCCTGGTTTCATGGTCAATATTCACCTGCAAGGAAGCAGCATCCACAAAGATTAACTTGGCGTTAACTCCTTTCCCATGACAGGGGAAGAAAACTGTTTTCTTCGTCTTCAGATGAGGGTGAAGATGCTTTCAAGCCTTTACATCCCTTCGTGTTGGTAGACCATGCAATGTTGAAAAGAAAGCTCTCACGAACAAGAGCAAGTCTTCCCATTTTAATAAAACCCACCAGGGTATTTTATATTCCTCTCCCGCCCCTTTGGGTCCCACGGGACAGAGGCAGCAAATGCTCTCACCTCCCTGGGCGCCTCGCTTTGGACAAACTCCTCAAAGATGCGGTTGGCCTTGGACGCCAGCTTGGTTTTCGAGCGCGTCTTCTTGAAGTCCTCGCATGCCAGCCAGAAGTCAAGGTTCTCCTCGCTAAATTCTGTCTTCAGGAAGGTGTGGAAGGCCGTCACCCCACCTGGGGAGGGGAGAGGAGAGCAGTTAGTAGGGCAGGAGAGGGGGAGGAAGAGGAGGATGGCTGCTGGCAAGCATCGCCCTGGGAGCTCAGACCATGACATCTGCAGATTTCCTTTCCCTGCAGGCAAATTCCAGCCTCTGAGACACTGCTAATTGGCCTCTAGACTCCAATAAAATCCTTTCCCACAGACAAGCAATCCTCTGGTTTTATTTATCTGACCTTTCTGTAGTGAGGCTTCAGAGTCTTTACAGCTTCGGAAAAGAGCTAATTCTAATTCTCGGTGGAGAGATCCACTGAGGTACCAGTACGCCTGCAGGAACCGAGCAGTGACTGCTTTATTTTTATTTTCTTGGCTGAGATCTATGGAGAAAGGAGATGCTGAGGAGTATGGGAGGGTAATCACAGCAAGGATTTCCGAGCCAGGCTGGGGGGATGTGTTCAGTTACAAAGCCAGAGATGCTTGTTAGCCATCACAGCAAGTGAGGAAGGCTGGAAAAAACCCATGCCCAGCCCCAAACGGGCACTGTGGAAGGATTTTCTCTGGCTGTGGAACAGCTTTTAAGGTAGACAACTCCTTTTGTATTAAAATTTGGCACTTCTACTGTCGCATACCTGCTGTAAAGCCAGGTGTAAGGAAAGGATTACGGGTGGGACTCAAAAAGAGGTCCCCCCTCTGGGTCTCCATGGGGGAGAGGGAGCCAGCCCCTTATGGGAGCCCTGGGCATCACCATACGTATGGCAAATATTGGAAGGGAAAAAGGCTCCATGTAACTCCATAAAGGAGCCGAATTCCTTCTCCCCATGGAAGAGCCATCCCTGGAGGCACAGGACAGACAGACAGACAGACAGATGGAGGGCAGCAAGGCAGTTTTCTGTGCAAAGGAGGACACTGAGAGCAGACACAGACGGTGAAAGCATGGCGTGATGCTCTCCCTGATGTCGCACGTGGGATGCTTGTGACAATGCTCCTGTCCCAAGGCAGCAGTGAGAAAGTGCTTGTGCCCCCCGAAAAGCACCACCCAGAAGAAAAGGGGACAGCTTCACAAGGCAGGCGGTGAGCCCTGCACATCAGCTCTGTCAGGGTAGGCAAGGGGCCTCTTTCTAAAACCCAACCCATCTCCTTTGAGGAGGAGACAAGATTTCCTCCTACAGCCACCCCCTAGCTCCCTGGAAGCGTGTTGGTCCTACGTGCGCTCACCAAGAGAAGAAAACAAGATCCAACTCACTTTTGCTCTTCAGGAGCTGGTCGAAGGACTCTCGCCATTCAAGTACCTCTTGTGAGGAGTCTCTGGAAAAGACAAAAGGACGTGAGGCTCGCTGTTCCGCCGACAGCCTTCTCCTGCCCTGCGGCGAAGGATGGGAGCACGTGGGTCAGGCAGCCCCATTCATGGGAGACGGTGCAAGAAGGGAGGCAGCGGCACTCAGTAGGAAACCAAAGCCAGACCCCAGCATCCGTTACCTGTGGGATCTCTTTCCTTTCTCCCTTTCTTTTATCTTCCCCGACGGCTCACCAGACCTCAGCTCCATCGGGCAGCTTTGGCCAGGTGGCTTCTAGAGGACACTCAGAAGAGCCCTTTTCTGCTGGTACAAGCCCAGCAGAGCCTCCTCGGCAAGAAGACACCCCGCCTTCAGCAGCAATATTTAGTATTTTGGTTTTAATGCTGCCTGCATTCCCCAGGGGTCCTGGGGACTGGTCTGAGACACCAGACACTGCAGGAGCGCTCTGGGTTTCTTGCCTGTTGCTAAGACCCTGCTCTCTTGTGCCTAATGCCAGAGCAGCAGTTCCCCCATCTGATTTTATAACTGGTGGAGCTGGGAAATGATCCGCCTTCCCTGCCTGCCAGGGTGGGACCATGGGGAGGGCGAGCTGTGCTCCATCCTCTCCGCTGCGCAGATGGGCAGGAGCATCCCCCAGGACAGCCTGGTCCATGGGGACACGTCCCGGGCTGAACCTGGGACGTGGCACCGCGTGGCTTACCTCCGCCTGGAGCCCAGCTGCAGCTTGCTGGAGGTCCCAATCCTGTGCCCCAGCTCGGGTTTATGAAGCAGGATCCCTAAGCGGGTTTTCAGATCCTTGGCTCTGGAAGGGAGGAAAGGGAGAGGTGGGATTGTGGGACCACCCGACCGCTGCTGGGGTTTGCACCCCACAGACCCCACACCACTCAGAGGGGCAGCCCTCGCTCCTCAGCTTCAGCTGCTTCATTGCCTTCTGATGCACAAAATAAATCCTCCCCCAATTGCTTTTTCTGCTCCCTGGCAACCAGGCTCAGCAGTACATTAAGCCCAGGGGACTGTTTCCTCCCGCTCGCTTCCCAGGTAGCAGCACACGCATTTATAAAACCCAGCGAGCTGCCGAGTGCCCAGCTGCAGCTCCCACAGCTCCCCCACAGCTCCCTAAGAGCTGACCTGGCTCCTTTTCCTGTCCCCCTCTCCCGGCAATGCTACGCTGCTCTGAAAGCACTGGAAAAACACAGCCATTGCTTTCTGCTCGGCAGAGCGGCAGCATCCTCCTGCTCCAGCCTGCTGCAGCAGGATTGATGCTCCCCCCCAATTTTTTTTTATGGGGTGCCCCTAAGTCACCAGGAGCCCCCCACCACGCCATGGAGAAGGATGCCATCCCCAGCTGCACCATCCACCTACCCCATGCCTTCAAGACCCAGCCAGCACTA